GCGCATTGATGGGTAGACAGGTTTGGGCATGGAAAGGATATGGATTTTTATTCATTTTAGTGTCAGTTTAGTCAGAGCTCTTTGCTTGTTTGTTTGCTTGCTTGATTTGATCTTTTTGAGACAGTGTCTCCCTGTAGCCACAGCTGGCCTGGAACTCACTATATAGACCAGGCTGGCCTTGAACTCATAGAGATCCACCTACCCAATGCCTCCCGAGTGCTGGGATTAAAGGTGTGTGTCACCATGCCTGGCTTAAGTCAGTGCTTCTGAACCTGGCCATCTAATGTATAGAATGAGGATGATATGCAAGCCTGTACAGTCCTTTGTGTAAAGGGTCAAGTATATAACACACCAGACACAGAGCAGGTACCCAATCAACAGTCCCTCTGCCCAAATCAGCACATAGCCACTTATACTCACCCTCCTCTGTAGGTCCCAGAGAGCTGACTTAAGTTTTATTTGTCTTACACTGAGCTGAGGAGTCACATTGGCAGGGGCATGGCTATGTGCCTGGTTCATAGAACAGAAAAGGATGGATGGATGGATGGATGGATGGATGGATGGATGGATGGATGGATAGATGGACCGATGGATGGATGGATGGATGGATGGAGGGATGGAAGGATGTGTGAATGAGCAAATGAATGGATGATAAGACAACTCAACAACTACTTTAAGTGACAGGAAGAAATTTCATGACTTAGATGGTGAAGAGATTCAGAATAAGGGAATCTGCAGCACAAAAGGTGAAGCAGCCAACTCTTTCCATCTGGCAGTCTGAGACAAAGCTATCAAGGTGCTCATGGGGGAGGGTCCTCAGTGAGGGGATGGTGTGATGTTTATTACTATGTTCTTGCTTTGGGCCTTTCTTTTTTTATTTATTATTTTTATTTTATGTGTATGCATGTATTGCCTGCATGTAGGTAAGTGCACCTGTGTCATGCAATGCCCGGGGAGGACAGAAGAGGCTGTCAGATCCCCTGGAACTGGAGTTACGGACAGTTGTTAGCTGCCATGTGGGTGCTGGGACTCGAACCCAGGTCTTCTGCAAAAACAGTCAGTGTTCTTAACCACTAAGCCATCTCTCCAGCCCCTGGGCCTTTCTTTTTTCTTCTTTTGGTTACTGATCTTGTAAAGATTTTTTTTAACATGTAAGAGGCCAGAAGAGGGCATTGGATCCTCTGGAACTGGAGTTATGGACAGTTGTTAGCTGCCATGTGGGTACTGGGAATCAAACCCAGGTCCTGTGCAAGAATAGCCCATGCTAAGAGCACCTGTTGCAGAGAACCCTGGTTTGGTTTCCAGCACCCACATGGCAGCTCACAACTACCTGTTACTCCGGTTCCTGGGAATCTGATGCCCTCTTCTGGCCTCCAGAGGCTCACATGGTGTAGGCAATACACTCATACACATAAAATAAAATAAATAAAATACAAAAAAATACAAGTGCTTTTAACCCCCAAGTCATCTCTCCAGCCACAGTTACTGATTTTCTATCGAGACTGTGTGTTATTTAATTGCAACAACAAAAACAAAAAATGGTGAAAGAAAACCAAACAAGTGGTTCTGTGAAGAAGAGACAGAATGCAGTTCTCCTGTGCCTTGCACCCATCCTGGAAAGGGACTTGGAAACTTGGCAGCTTGGTGAGCACCTCTGGGCCAACTCAGTGCAGCCTACACCCTGGGACTGTATCTTCTAGAATTCTCTCAGCTGTTTGAGAGCCCACATCTCATGTACCCTCATACCTGATCTCTTCTAAGAAGATGAATTTATCATCTGACAATGGAATCTGCCTTCAGTTCTACAACTCTAGAAGAGAGTTCACAAATAAACAAAATCCTCTTTTTCATTTTGAGCCTAGGTTGGCCTTGAACTAGAGATCTTCCTGTGTGGTCCACTACACCTAGCAGGAAAAGAAATCTCTTTTGTTCACTATCCCCTGTATTTTCAGTTTGTGGTGGCCATTTCAATGACAACTCCTGGGGTCTTGGTCCAGGGAGACGTCCCTGTGGAGGGCAGAGTTTAACGCCATACCATCTTGTATATCAAGGACACAAAAAAATATTTACTGTACTGAACCAGACCTCAAGAAGAATATCTTTGTTTGTGGAATATTATTACTTTCTTTTGGCGTGTGGGAAATAATCAGGCACAACCTCTGAGGTGAGATTTTCCTAATTCCTAGTATCTACATGGAGAAGGATGAAATTCCCTGAATACAAACAAGGCTCTGCGCAGCCAGAAGAAAACCCCACACCCTTCTTCACTGCTTGATCAGAGCAAGGGGAGGGCATGCGGGCACCCTACCTTCCCACTGTCTCCTGGACATGCAATGTTGGAAAAACCTGAAAGGCCTCCTGGGCTGCTGCTTCTCCAAAGTATTTGTTTACACTGACATCTATCCTGGTGCCCAGTTATTGTAGACCTGCGTTTGCATTCCACATGGCTTGCGTTTGCAACTTGCAAACTACAGGTATCTGCTGTTGGTACTTTGTGGTCAGAGTAATGGAACTAAGCTTTGTTTTAGGATGTGGGATGTGACAAGGCAGAACCTGGATGAAAAGACATTTGCCTGACCCAAGTCCTGCTCTGCCCTCAGTGTAGAAGAAAGAGGCTACTGATGCAAGATATGCACCTTCAGTTCCAATTCAAGCTGAAGAATCAAAGACTTCTGGTCCTTGGACCCTCCTCACTGCTGCAGATAAACAATCAAGTGTGCAGTGTGATTTCTAGTTTTGTCATATGCCAGCCATAAAGCAGGGACAATGGCAACACCTTACTACCTGAGAGGGGTGAGGCCTTGGAGCTCCTTGCTGTGTGGGGGCGGGGGGCTGGAGATTGACAAGGGGAAAGCCCAAGGCCAGGCAGGATACTGTTTCCCCTGCCAGGTGTGCAAGGAGGGTTTTCCCTTTGATCTCCCACTACACACAAGGGACGCTGGCTATTCTCAGAGGCCTCTCCACTATCAGTCCCAACTGCAGCCAGACTGCCAGACCACTAGTGGACAATGACTCTCGCAGTCATCTCTTATTGTGGGAATAGTGTAAGCCTTGCCAGGACAATCTGTCCATCTCATTTCATGAGCTTTGTTTTGGTCAGATACTCACCATGTGTTCATATGCTGCTAGGAGTTTGAGTTTCCCCTTTTCCATCAACTGCAGAACTCTTCACATTCTGTTCCAGCATGCCAGCCTCTGTAAGGTTCTTACAGGCCCTATCCTCCCTTAACCATAGGGCCTTTGCACAAGCTCCTCCCATAGTCTGGAAATTCTCTTCCTTTCATATCCAACCTCAACTGAGGCATCCTTTTCTGTGGCAAGCCTTCCCTGACCTCTGCCACAGACCTTCAACTGGATACCTGAGTACCCATAAACCATGTGTCCTCATGTCCTCAATATTTACAGCTACCTGCTAGGCATAGTGTCTTCTGTCTCCCACTGGTGAGAAGACATACTCAGGAGATTGCTGCTTGCTCACCCCTAGAACCTGCCTCACAGAAAAGGCTCTATCTATTATCTGTGAGTAATGGAGTACCTGTTAAGGCGCTCAACCGATAGTGTTAATTCCCCTCTTTCTACCAACACAAAGAAAATTATGGTAAGATTTTAATGTTGAATCAAATCTAACAGGATCTGCAAAGGAGGGGTTACATCTGCACCACACTGACCACCAGTGCCCTAGCAGTGACCCAGATCCAGTTGCCTGTCCTAGGAGAGAAAAGGCCACAGAGCTATGCTCTTAGCTGTTGTGTGAATCTGTGCCTGGCTCTTAGTAGTGACAGATGAGTTCGGTGATAAGTGTATGTGAGAAGTGACAGTGTAGATGGTCATAGGGAAAGAAAGGACACGAGTCCTCCTCAGTGGTCATCAGAATACAGTAGGGTTGAGATTCCCTAAGTACTACAAGAGCAATACCCTGATACTGCCATTCCCATAGCAGAAACAACACTCAGTCTGCTTTTCCCCAATACCATGACCCCAACACTGTGACTTTGACGCAACCATCACAGGACTGAGAGACACAGGTGCAAGAGACTGGCCTCCCAGAGCAAAGCTGGCACCCTTCAACCTCCAGGGACAGGGCATGGTGTTGGGGGATAGGCACAGCTCTGCACATCAAGCCAACCAGCCTAAATGTTCAAAGTGGGCAGCCCAGGCGCAGCTGCTCTATGGGCTTGCCCTGCCACATCACCATGAAGCCAGTCATAAGGCTCCCTGCCTACCTACCCCCTCACACACATGCTCACATTGACAAGGAGGCTAGCAGAGCAAGACAGCATGCACAAAGAGTTCTGACCTTGTTTCCATTTGGGGTGCAAGAGCCCATTCCCCTAGTTAAACCTCAGAGACCTGATGGGTTCATATGTCACCAGAGGTTGGGGAATTCTAGCAGCATCAGAGAGAGAGAGAGGACAGAACTCACCCAGGTCTTTGAAAGACAGGCTACTTGCTTAGCAAGGGGTTAGAAGGTGGACTGTGTCAGGAGACCCAAGGGGAGGGGTTATTTTCATAGCCTGTTTCCATGGTGCCTGACAGCCCTTGGCAAACTGCAGCTGGGAATCTTGGACAGCCAGGGGGCCCCAAGGCCTTATCTACCCTGGGCTACCCTCCAGGGCCCATCCTCTTGGACTGTCTGGGACCCAAGAGTAACAGAGGCCACAGGCAAGCAGCCAGTGCCCCTCTCTCACTTCCTTGGGTAAAGGAAGCTAGTGGTACAGCAGACAGAGAGGACCTGAGAGTCAAGTTCTGTGGCTCTGGGGAGCCCCTCCCTTGCTGGAGACCTTGGGGGAAATCCTGGTAAGGCTTCCAGGTTCCAGAAGACCCTCCCAGGAGGAGCATGCTCCCTACTCTTCTCTGCTGGCTGCAAGGCCAGATGACCAGATAAGGACCCTTTTGATTTTCCCATTTACACAGGCTAAGGCCCCCAGTCCTGGAAAGACTCAACCACAGCCAGGCAAGAACAGCCTCCTCCTCTCTGGCAGAGGGAACAGGCCCCTTACCTGCTCCTGGGAGTTCATCACTCGTAGCTTCATCTGCTTCAAGTAGGTGGAGGTGAGGGGCATGTTGTAGTCAATAATCCCAGAGACCAGAGGAGATGGAGGTTCGTTTTCTACAGGAAGAACAAAAAGGAAACCTGTTCAGTCTATGCTGGGGGCTGCCACCCCTGTGGAGAAATCCACACTAAGCTGTGGAGGAGGGCACTGCTTCTGAGAAGGGGCAGATCAAGGGCTACTCGCTGATCAACTGCCCACCATACATACGTGGTAGGTATATGGTGTGCAAAAGTAGGCTTCATAGTGTTGGAAATGCTTGCCAGTTAGGTGCCAGTGACTAATAAGAGAAGTCACATGTTCCAAAAATGTAAGACTGAGCTGTTTTGTAAAAAATAAAAAAGGTCTGGTAACTTACGGCCCTTGCCCCCAAATGGTGACAGCCATGTGGCTGGGCAGTAGCCACTTCTTATAGGCAGGACATTTGAGCTGCTTTGTCACAGTCCCTCCCACTTCTTATCACAAGGCACACCTTTGCTCACTTAGGCTACCTGCCAGGACCCCAACCCTGGCCAAAGTCAGCTCTCTTCCTGGTAAGCACATGTCTCTGCCTCTACCCCACCCCAGCACCAGCCCCACAGTGTCCCCCCACCAAGCACCCCCGGGGACCATATGGCTAGCAGATCTGAGCCAGGCCTCCAGTGCTTGCCACTCTCCCAAATCTTGGTGCCTCCTAATCCCATGCAGAGGAGGATCCTTTCTCTTGTTTATTGCTCTGTTGTCCTGAAAATCAAAGCCATACATGTTCTTTTTGTAGAAAATCTGCAATGTGCAGAAAGATGTGAAGAAAAAATTTAAAAACTGTAAGTGCACCAAGCAGTTTGGCATATGCTTCTATTTTTTTCCCTGTGTCTTTTCTTTACATATTTTATATCATAGTGCATAAGGAAAATTATAGTTTGCTTTTCTCCCAAAAAAAAGGTGTTTGGGGACTGGAGAGATGGCTCGGCAGTTAAGAGCACTGACTGATTTTGCAGAGGACCCAGGTTCGATTCCCAGCACCTACATGGCATCTACGAACTGTCCTTAACCCCAGTTCCAGGGGAATCCAAAGCCCTCTTCTGACCTCCACGGCATTGTATGACACAAGTGCACTCACATACATGCAGGCAATACACTTATACACATAAAATATATTTTTTAAAAGGCTTTATTTACTTATTTATTTCTGTTTTTGAGACAGAGACTTGCTTTGTAAGTAGTCCAGGCTGGCCTTGAACTCATGACCTTCCTGCCTTAGCCTCCTGAGCACTATAGGTATTTTTTTCCCCTAAATATTTTGTCTTATTTTCCTTCTCTACCATAACTCCTGTTTTACTTTGCAAATATAGTTTTATAGCTGTGTAGTATATGGCCACAATTTACCTAAGTTATCCCCTTATGATTGGTTAGAGCTATGAGAGCTATTATAAACAATGTCTCTCTGCATAAATATTTGTCTGTATTTTTTTTTTTTTTTTTTTTTTTAGACAGGGTCTCCCTGTAGCCCCAGCTGGCCTGGAACTCACTATGTAGACCAGTGCTGGGACTAAAGGCGTGTGCCACCACACCCATCTGGTCTGTATTTCTATTTCCCATCATCGAACTGATTCTAAGAGATGGGATTTATGGAAAGTAGGGATAACTCCTGAATCTTTGGTCAAGTTGCCTAGGAGATAGTCCTGGCCACCTGTTCTCTATCTTTCTGTCCCCACAGTCTTCTGGGCAGGTTGATTTTACCCCAGACTTTTCATCAAAAGATTCCTCTGTTTCAAAGGGATAGGATCTGATTCAAGTGAGGAGAAATAGGAATAACTTCTCCAGTAGGCAAAGCCTGTCCTCTCTATCACCACCACAGCCAGGAGACAAGCTGTGGGAGAGGCAGGTAACAGGGCTAAGGTGAAGGAAATGCAGAGGCAGTCACAGAGTGATTTGCTCCACCTGCCCTTCAGAGCCAGGGCCCAAACCAAAGAGGCCTCTGCACCCATGCAACACTGTGCCAAGCAGAAGAAGCCACCGAGGACAAATACTTGCCTGAAATACAGCTGTGAATATGATGGAGTCTTCAAAATGGTTCAATGAAGCTGGGCGTGATGGCGCATGCCTTTAGTCCCAGTACTTGGGAGGCAGAGGCAGGTGAATATCTGTGAGTTTAAGGCCAGCCTGGGCTACATAATGAGTTCCAGGTCAGCTGTGGCTACAGGGAAAGCCTGTCTCAAAAAAAAGGAACAAGGGCAGAAAGAATACTAATGCATTGCTCAACTCTTATCAGCAAAGCTTCCTCATACAACAGAGGGTGATGAACACAAAAGGCCACGACTGGCCAAAGTGTAGAGAAGAATCTGCAGAGTGTGGATCCCTGGACAGGACTCCTATATTAAACTTTACCCACCCAGGGTAAACTTTACCCATCAGGGACCATTGCAGAAGAAGGGGTGGAAAGATTATAAGAGCCAGGGGAGGAGGTACATGACCATAAGGAAACAGAGTCTTAGAGGTTCCTGGGACCTTGCTCATATGAACTTATAGCAATGCTGTCAGAATGCACAAGACCCGTGCAAACTCAATCAGACAAAATTGCAGCATAGAACTGGGGAAATGGGCAGCAGGCCTCCAACCCTAGCAAAGAACTACTGGCAGCTGATTACTGCTGGGTGAGGGGAGAGTTTATCTTCTTTAAGGGAAGAGACTCTAGACAGACTGCCTAGACCCCAGTGAATAAACCTGCACTGAGGGACACGTGGGTACACTAACTTGACTCAATAGGCCTTAACATATATGACAGAAAGCATGTAATCCAGTGGGGGAGGGGGGTACAAGGGGTATGGATGGGGGAGGGGGTATAAAGATAATTAAGATGTTTTATGTGAAATGCCCAAAAATTCAATAAAAATATATATAGGGGAAAAAAAAGAAAAAAGTGTTCAATGAAACATTACTAAAATGGTAAATTTTCTAAGTATTTTAACTACAAGCTTAAAAAAAGGAGAGAAAGGCTCTAAAACATGGGGGCAAGGTCTCCCAAAGAGGAAAAGCGGCACTATCATGTGGTCAGGGTAGGAAAAGCCCTGAAGAGAACGGGAACCAGACCAGACCGAGCCCAATGCTCCAGGGGAGAATGAGACTGCTTGATAAGGTTTTACCAGTTTCATAAAAATGTACAAGTTGCCCGGCATGTTGGCACATGCCTTTAATCCCAGCACTTGGGAGGCAGAGGCAGGCAGATAGATCTCTGTGAGTTCGAAGTCAGCCTGGTCTACATAGTGAGTTCTAGGCCAGCTGGGGCTACAGGGAGACCTGTCTCAAAAAGACCAAAAAAAAAAAAAGTTCTTCAGTCTTAAATAGAATTTCATATTGATGATACTGATTCAAAATGGTAGTTATCAAATCCATGCTAACCCACCAAAAATGAATGTTAACATTATTGGCACAAATGAGTCACTTCTGAGTCTGTGTCAGTCCTTGACCTGCCTTTGTACTCCCTGTATAATTCATTTCCAGATTCAGTTCAGACACCTGGCACTGAACTGAATGTGCAGAGCACCACAAAGATGGTGGAGAGGGCTGATGGTCTTTATTTCTCCCCCTTTCTGGTAGGGCAGGGAATCCTGTGCACAGGAGCCTGGGGTGTGGGGAAATGGATCCAGCTTCTGTGATCCCTCTAGATAGGCCATCATCAACCTAGATTTGACTTCCTTAACCCCAAGGAAGTTAAGTTTTAGGCCCTGCTCCACCAAGACTGATTGGGTTGGAAGCAACATATCAGATAAATATTGCAAGGACAGTATTGAGACGGGGTCATCAACAGGAGCCATATTCTTACCTACAGGTCATGGCACTTATGGCTGAGCTACTTGGCTTCCCTTTCATTTCCTCAAAGATGAGGTTGTCTGGTGAGAAGTTGGTAAACAACACAGTGGTTGTGAAGGGCCACCTACCTCCAATGGCCCCAGTCATACAGGGACTGTCCACACTTGATCATCCACAGAGGCAGGAGATGCTCTTTCCCTAAGGTAGCCCACATTCTGCCTAATGCCACAACTGTGTATCATGAAACATTAATAAAGCCAGTGACAGTCTGACTTGGGAATAAAACAAAAAATAAAAAAACAGAGGCCAGGACACTGCTCTGAGGAGATGGGGGAGGGGGGTCTATTCCTCCTAGCATCTCCACAAAGCAGAAACTGATTCTGGGGCCCAAGCAGGAGAAATGAGGAAGAGGTGGGCAGGTAGGCTGGACAGTGTGGTGCATGCCTTTAATCCCAGCATTCATGAGGCAGAGGTCTGTCTATATAGCAAATTCTTGGCCAACTGGGGCTACAGGAGATCCTGTCTCAAAAATACCCCACCTCCCAAAAAGGAGGTGGGCAGGATGCCTGTTCATGAAGAAGCAGGTACACAAAGAGATTTCAGGGAATGCCTCTACTGGTATGCCATGAAGCACCAGGTTCCGAGATTCAGGAATGAGTGTCCTGTTGGAGAAGTAGAGCATTGGCAGGCAAGGGACATTCCCAGTGAGGAAAGGAACCATGGAGTTGGCATGGGAGCTCAGAGCTGGTCCAACACAGTGAGGAGAAAGGCAGATGTGCTGGGGCAATGGGGAGCACCACAAGCTCTGGATGTGGGGAAAGAGCAGGAACTGAGCCCATGGAGTCCAGTACTCTCAGATGGAAAGAACGCCATGTCAGGGCAAGTTAAGACAGAGCACAAACAAGAAGAGGGGGATTCCCTGGGCTCTCTGGACAGGCTGGTCCACTGCAACAACACGTGGTGGTCATGCCCAGGCCACTGTAAACAGCCTGATGCCACAGCACCACTGGACACTGTTACTATGGAGAGGGGTGAGGTAAAAGCCGGCACAGTCACGAGACTGTGATCCAGTAGGTTTCTGGGAAGAGAGGCAGAGGAAATGCCCCAAGAAATGTCTCAATACCTCTTTGCCAGGGAAAATGGAAACCAGCCCAAGCACCTGGCCTGACTCTCTAGGGTTTTGAAAAGGATCAACGATGTAAAAGCTCTACCCAGGCCAGGTCAGGTCAAGCCCACAGTAAGCTCAAATGGCACCTGTGAATCAACTCATATTCCAATAGGGGAATGGCCCTCATATTCTCTAGGTGGCCAGTCTTAAGAGCTTTTTACCTAGAGAACTCCTCATTCCAGAGACAGCAGAAGTGTCCGGGTTGTTGGTGGCTAGGGAGATAAGAGCTCTCCCAGACAGAGTTGGGTATTGAAGGACATTTGCATGAGGGGCACAGAGAAGCCAGCAGACCAACCAGCCTTGTGGGGTTTAGACTTGGAAACAAAGCAAGGATCCCCACCCTTGGGTGAGGAAAAGGAAATCAGTGAATGGACAGGTTTTCCTGTGAGGTACACTGGTATACTTCATGAAGGGAAGAAAGAAGCTCAGAAACAAGTGAGTAGAACAGGGTAGGACAGGGTGATAGGAGTCCATTAGAGCTAAGAGGACCCTGGAGTAGCTCATGAAGCTTTGTAAAGAGAATTGAAAGGACTCACAGTCGATCTCTCTGATAAAAGCAACTAAACTCTTCCCAAGCGCTCCATGTGGGCCATCTTTGCTTGATTGTCCAAGAACCCCAGGAAGTGGGTGCTACTATTAATACCCTGTCTTTACTGATAAGACGACACAGCATAGAAAGGCTGTGGAACTTCCCATTGTCGAATATGAGACTGAGAAGAGGAGAAGCCAGCTAACAGAACAAGCCAGAGCAGAGGAACAGGCAGGAATGGGGCCATGGTGGCAAGCACAGGAAGAGGGGATCTGGAAAAGCCAGGATGGAACCCTTAGAAACTACAGAGAAGTCTGGCTTGTTAGGAAGGAGCCACCCCCAAAGGAATAGCTTGTTTTCTGGGAAAATGTCACCAGTGTTGCCCACTGCCAGTTCAGAGTTTGCAACCAGGCCATAATATATTGTCACATCAGAGAAAATGGAAATGCATCCTCAGAGGTCCCTCTCCCTTGGAGCCAGGGTGGTCTGAGGATTGGTTGGTGGGAGACAACTATGGGTATGAAGGCCCTGGAATTTCTATCCGAGGACTTCCAGACCCTCTGTAGCCTGCTTTATTTATGTTCCTAGTGCTAAGCTGGGAGCTGTGGGGGCTGCTGGGCCCCACACTCTGCTGGGGAGGCTGCTCTGCTTCCTCCTTTTATTTCTAGCATGAAGCCAGGAAGCTGGACATTCTCCCAAAAGCCCCTGAGGAATCTCCATCCTGTCCCCTGTCCCCCTCCCTCACCACCTTCCTGGGGCAGGAACAAGAGGTCTGCTTCTGGCTAGGGGAAGGAAGGGCTAGCAGGCAGAGGTGCAACAAGAGAGAGACAGTTGGGTGGTGCTCTGACTTCAGGTTCCTTCAGGGTAGAGCTGTCAATAGTTCAGAGGCTGCTGTTCTCTGGAGCAGATAGAGAGCTTTTCAGACTTAAGAGTTCTCCACTGGCACGGTGGCACATGTCTTGAATCCTAGCACTCAGGGGCTGGAGAGATGGCTCAGTGGCTAAGAACACGGACTGTTCTTGCAGAAGACCCAGGGTCATATCCCAGCACCCACATGGCAGCTAACAACTGTCCATAACTCCAGTTCCAGGGGATCTAATAGCCTCTTCTGTCCTCTGCAGGCATTGCATGACACGGGTGCATTTACCTACATGCAGGCATAACACTCATACACATAAAATTAAAATAATAGAATTTTTAAAAAAAAATCCTAACACTCAGGAGGCAGAGGCTGGCAGATTTATGTGCGTTCCAGGCCAGCTACAGGGAGACCCTGTCTCAAAAAAAAAAGAGTTCTCCACTGGTAGTTTCTAGAAACTAAACTTTACCATCCATGCTGCACCTAGCACATGAAACTAGAGCTTTTGCCTGGGTAGGGCCTGGGCACTAGTGACCTCACCTTGGTAGAGGCAGTTAGCCTTTGGGAAGGGAGGCGCCTAGACCTGAACACCATAATACAACAATGGGCCCATGTTCTCAGAGTATTCGTGGAGTGCCAGATGCCCTGCAGAGGGGGGCTCTGTTTATATACCTGCATCCCACAGCCCCAAGAGGAGAGCATTCCTTCCACTTGGCTGATGAGGAAGGCAGGTCTTCAGCCTTCACCTCTAGGGGCTGGGAGAAGCCTGGATTTCATCAGCACCTTTCTGGGGTTTGGTTTCCTTGGCTATAAGCCAAGAGTGACAATTCATAGCTGTTATGAGCAGGGGATGCTCAGAGAAGTTCCCTAATGTGCTATGGGCCACACAGCAGGGAATAGGGCTGTACACGAGGCCCGCGTGACCTGGAGTCCACACTCTTCCAAGGGCTACATTCTGTCCTGCTCCCTTGGAATCCTTTCTCTGCAATGGAAAAGTCAGCTGCCTGAGACTGAGGTTGAGCAGATACCTGTCCTCTTTCCTGCCAGGATAAGCCCCAGGAGAGAGGCTCAGCACACAGCCCTCAAGCTGGTTTATATTCTAGGCAGCTCCTGGCTGTGGGCTCCCTCCCTCCTTCTTCTTCCTATTTCTCCTCTTCTTCCTCCTTCCTGGGAGCTGGGAGGGGTGTTCCAGAGGTGAAGGCAGCTAGTGAGGAGAGGAAGCAGGTTGCTGCTGGGCTGCTCAGACAAAAGCCCGCAGCCTGAGGACTTTAGAGCCTTTGGGGAAGAGCACCGGCCTCCTGGTGGGAAGCAGGGGAGCCTGGAGGCCTGCAGTCCCCCAGGGCAGCCTTGCCTCTGTTCCTCCAGGCAGCAGTTCTGTGCCTGACTCTTCCAGTTGCTATGGAAACAATTAGGGCAGGAACTGGAGGGGATGGGCATACATGGGTGGGCAGGATCCAGGCAGCCAGCACCAGGTCCTGGACCTGCAACATAGGGAGTGAGAAGGGAAAAGCCTCTAGGCCCATCTGCAGGGCCAGAGGCTATCTTGGTCCTGGGGCCATGCAGGACAGCTTCCCTTAAGGTCAAACTCCCACACCAGAATCCTGTGTCAGGCTCACAGAAGACCTCTCAAGACTCATCATTCCTCTGAGAGGGACCCTTACTAACCTCATTCTACAGAGCTGAGACCCATACCCACAAAGCTTGGCCTAGAAGCCTGTTCTCAACAACAGAACTAGCATGAGGGGCTCCTGGCCCTCACACCTTAGAAGCTGTTCAATGTGCCTAACAAAGCAGCCACTGCCTGGTGGTTCCCAGGCAGCAAAATCTCTAGATTTGGTGAGGCAGCTGGTGCTGCAAGTTGCTCAGGTGCCTTAGGTATGCTGCCTGATGCCTGTGTCCCCACACCAGGCCATGGTTGGCTGAGGCTCTGTGATTGGCTTTACCTCCCCAGGTTGGCAAATGCCACTTGAGCTCCACCTGGATAAGTGGTTTGCCCTCCATTCCTAATGTCCCCACCATTGGGCAACTCTATTAGCCCCCTCCCCGACCGACCAGGGTTCTGCATGATTTGCAGGCCTGATGCCAAGAGCTGGCACAGTATGCTGGGGAGAGCCTGAAATCCTGCTCAGTGCCCCTTTCCCCCGACTGGGCATCATCTCTCAGGGAAAAGCCACCATGACCATGGCCAAATGTGCTGACCTGTGTCACAGAGTCAAAGCCAGATGCAGGCAAACAGGCTCTGATTGATGTAGAGGGGTGCTGAAGTGGGGTCCTTGGTCTCACTCAGTTGAACAGAGCAGAGGACCAATTTCAGATGGTAACAGGTAGTTTGTCCATTTTAAATTCTAATCAGTCCTCACTGATCTACTGATTGGAGGCCATATGAATGTGCACAGGGAGTGAGCAGACCCTAGGGAGGGCCAAAGGGTAGGAAGGAGCATATCTCCTAACTTCAGAAAGCCAGATTCATGTGTTCATGGGTAGATGAACAGTCAGGTGCAAAGCCTAGGAGCCAGGATAACGGAGCCCAGAAACCGGGCAGAGTGGCCATTGCTAACTGGAGACTTGGCAGGGGAAAAGGCTGGCCTAAGCCTTGAAGGACAGAACCAATGATGGGTTGTCAGCTTTTAAGTGAAACTCAACATTTTTAAAAAAATATTTTATTATTTTTATTTTATGTGTATGAGCATGTTGCCTGACTGTGTGAGTGCACCTGTGTCGTGCAATGCTGCGGAGGTCAGAAGGGGGCTTTGGATTCCCCTGGAACTGGAGTTAAGGATGGTTTGTAGCCGACATATGGGTGCTGGGAATCAAACCCAGGTCCTCTGCAAGAGCAGTCAGTGCCCTTAACCGCTGAGCCATCTCTCCAGCCCTGAAATTTAACATTTTTAAAAAGCTAAACAAGCTGGTGTGTTGGTGCACACTTTTATCTCAGCTATAGAGGGTAAGGCAGGAGGATTGCAAGTTTAGAGTCAGCCTGGGCTATACACTAAGACTCTGTCTCAAATGTAAATAAACTATTCATTCATTCAAAAGTAGAACAAATTTGAACAAGGTTTTTGGGGCAATGCTGCTAGCCACATTGGCCTCTGGAAACAGCAGCAAGGGCAACCTGCTGTCCTGTACTCCCAGTATTGGCTTAGGATGCAGCCCCCACCTTTGGGCTCCGGGCCGTTGGAGTTAAAGTGCATCCTCTTCTGACATTCCGTGCAGCTCATGAGGAAGCGGGTCACGGCTTCTCTCGGGAGGAAGGCGTAGGTCTCCGCAATCTGCAGAAAAATAGTTTGCATGTCATGTGCAGCCAACATGAGGGCAACTTGGCCACAGAATCCCTGAGTTCTGTGTTTTGGAGGAAGCAAGGGGCAGGTGTCCATTCCTTGCTGTGAAGATGAGCCACTTGCTTTAAAAATTTGAATATAGGAGATTGAGAAAGAAAAGCATTAAAATATGATATAGTTTGTAACCTGTACTAGGTACTAGTCCTCTCAGAACATTTTATTATTACCACTAAAAAGTGAGCTTATAAACATCACTCTAGGGTAGGACAACCTTTCTCAGTACAAACTGAGATCCACTATAAATTCACTGGTTCTGGGCCTAGCAACAGAACCCAGGGTTCTCTAAGTGAAGTCCTGGGGTAACTCAGAGAGGCCAGAAACCTGTGCAGGGAGAACTGTAAAAAGTTGGTTTGGCAACTGAAGTTTTCGCACTGCACAGGTTCTAGAGGACCTTTATGTTTCTTATAACTACGGTCCAGAGAGGTGAGATGATTCACCTGAGGTCACACAGCCCTTGATGAAACAGAGTTGCAGTTCACACCAACCCATAGCTAAGGAGGAGAAAGAGCAGGAGGGAGGGAAAGTAGAAATGAAGAGAATGTGAGAAGGCTAGGTAGGGAGTGAGGAGGGGGCATGGGCCCAGAGATCCAGCAAGGGGCGGGGGCTTGCTCTGGGTTTTGGAAAACTCCCTGGCCCTTGTTTGGCTGCCCCTGGAGGCCAAAGGATCCCCTTAATCCCATCTTTTCCTTGTGAGAGGCTGTGGTGGCCTATTTCTCACATGCTGCCTAGAACTGGGGTCCTACCTCTCCTCTCCACTAAGGGGCAGCATCACCCAAGAGTTCCCATCCTCACCACAGCCCAGATGAGAAAGTTGGCTGAGGGCTTCAAGGCCACTCTGGACAGCACTGGGCCCTGCTTGGCCTGTAGACAGCACACACAGTCTGCTTCTAAGGGGACTAGGGACAGGGATTCCACGATGCCCTTCGTCTCTGCTAGCGGAAAGAGAAGAAATGGAGGAAGCAGGGGTACATAGAAGGCTGGGGTGTACCAGGCTTCTGGTACTACCCCTCTGAGGACCAGCTCAGGCAAGGCTCCCAGTTCAGCCTCTGGCCTGCTTCCTGCCTGACTGTGGAGTTCCAGGGCTGCTCCTGCCAGCTGCAAATGCAAGTTAATTTTGGTGACACAGTTGTTACTTCTCAGCTGATTTGACGCTCTGAGGAGCAGGCAGCCTCCTTGATGAGTTATCTCCCTTCCAAATCCCATCTGATTGCCTTGCTCTGGAGGTCAGGGACAAGTGTGAACCCTGGTGTCTCTGGCTGGAGACATGGATGGGAGAGTGGCTGGCCTACTTAGGGCATGAGGACTGAAGGGTAGGGGCTTTTCTGCTAGGTGAGTGGTATCTTCATCTCCAGCCTAGATGTCCTATCCTGGAAGTCCCTTTCACAGCATGCTGGGTTGGGGACGGTAGGCTCAGATGAAAGGTTGATGGCTGCAGGAGGGCAAGAGGGAAATGCATCTACCAGGCAGAGCCAAGGCTGGGGCTGACTGGCCAACAGATGAAGTCCAGGACTCCCCCTAAGATGTGGTTTCTCAGGTTAGGCTTCACAAGAGCTGAGTGGATATGGGGAGGAGAGCCACAGTCAGCTGGGAGGAGGGTAGAGTTCATGCCAGAGACCAAACTGAAGCTTTCTTGTTCACCTGCACCAGGCAGACACTCTTGAAAGTGTTCAAGGACAGCCCTTGCCTTGGCTCCTTGGCTAAAGGCTGCTCACAGGATGAGCAGAACTATTCTTGCTGCCTGGCCTTCAAAAGGCACAAGAAGGAAGTCTTCAGGATGAGGTATAGACCACAAGAAGCTCTCCTGGCCTCGGCAGGGCCCCCAGCAGTGGGCCAGGCTGGCTGACATGGGGAAGAGTAGCATAGGACACACATCTTATTGGCCCTGGGCCCCACAGAGGAGTGCAGGAGGTAAGAAGTTTTTAGAGCTGTCAGAGAGTGAGGCGGGATATGGAGGGAGGGAGGCCTGTCCTGTGCAGCTGGGATGCCTACAGCCTGACTATCAGCTCCCTGTGGACTCCAGGGCCTCAGTTCTGTGCTGTCTTGGGGACCCATATGGATCACAGTCCTCTCCTCCCACCTTTCCATAGCATCTAGAAATGGGGCCTCTCTTTCTGTTTAAGTGTCTGGATGCCCCAGGCCACAGCCCACTAAAGTGACATCAAACCAAAAAAGGATAATCCTCACAAGATGCTCCTGTGATGATGGCTTTCAGATGGTTTCAGAGCTACAGACCCTATTCTAGAGATAGACTCCCATGCACAAGACAGATAAAAGATGGAGCTATCGTGTTTCGGGAGGAGATGCCCCAGACCCGTGTCCCCAAGCAGCTTCCCTCAGCCACCCTGAGTTGCCTGCTGCCTTGCCCTCAGAGCCTCCCACAGGGACCCTGAGTCTGGCCATGTATGAATTTGTCTTTTCTGTTTTTCAGAGAGGTAAAAACAGAGATTTTGCTGGCAGGGAAAGCTGGAGCTATTTGCAGAGTCGCTGACTTGCAAGGCTCTAACTCAGAGGCCGACAAAGACTGATGAAGCCAATTGGGGGGGACTTGTGCCACTTTACAAGATCCTCCTTCTGCCCTGTGGTGGATTAGCATATAGTGGTCTTGGACCAGCTGACGACATCTGGCCCCAAGTCCAAAATGGCCTGGGTAGCCAGATCAAGGCTCTGGCAGCCTATCTGGCCTCTAGCATCCCTGGAGAAGAAGAGGAAACAAAAGGGTTCCCTCCAATCCAGATGGGCAGAGATCAGAAAACCAGGAAAGCCCCCCTGGGAAAAGAACAGAGCCTCTATTGGGGCTCAGGAGCTTAATGGAGCCACCTGGAAGCTTCCCTAAGTTTGGCATTGGTGAGACTCCTGGAGTCTTTGGAACCGCGGGTTACCCTGTATGGGAGGCTAAGGTAGGGCTTCCTGCTTAAAAGGAGACACCCCCCCCCAGCATTATCTGATGGAAATGGCCTTCTGCCTCTGGCTCCTACACCTCCACACTTAAAGCTCAGAACTTGTCCTCTGATTCATAGCTCAACAGTGGTAGTTGCTAGAAAGTTCTTTTGCCTGCTGAAAAATTAACTTCCTTTAGTGCCCTGAACAATGCTGCTCATCTCCCCCATCTCCCTACCAGTCTCCCAATCCCTAAAGACACCCCAGGCCTGTAAGAATTTGGAAAACCTTGTGCCCTGCAGATTGAGAGGCAAACCCAGGATTCAGCTTTGGCAAAACATACATGGACAGATCCAAAAACTGCTCATCTGAGGGCTTGACGAAATCGTGGCTGCGCCAGACTGTGCCTCTCTACTGCCATCAGCACAGGGTTTTCTTGGGGCAGGGGGCTCTTTCTAAAGGTAGGGGTGAGGTTGCGGGGGAGTCTCATGTCTGCAGAGTAAGACTGAGGAGCTAGGCTTGGCTGGAAGGAAATGGAAACAGATTAAAAAAAAAAAAGGGGTGGGGACAAAAGCATCCAAGCACCACCTCTGCCCTCTGAAAGGAAAAGTGTGGCATGAGAAGGGTGACAGATGGGGGAGAGAAGGAAGGGCGAGGAGGCACATAGGGAAGGGGGGGATGCTGGCTTCCTTGGCTTTATACCACTGCAGGAGGGCCCTGGCCTGCTCAGCTCAGTCTTGGCCCCTGCTGCTGAAATTCCAGCTCTGTGTGCAGCCCAGCTGGCTCCATGCCAGTCATGTGCCAGCTCTAGGCTGGGCAGGGGGAAGTGGGGCACGTGGTGTGCATATGGACCAGAAGCCAGGAAATACAGAACAGAGCTAGATGTCCACTTGGCCTAGGGACACAAGGGCTAGCAAGACCAGTGCAACTCAGCCTTGGCCTCTGCATGACTCAGAGGCCACAGACACTACTAATGAGTGCCCAGGGTTAAGGCTTGGTGCTGGGCACCAAAGGGTCAGGGAAATCACCCAGTCCAGTAGCCAAGCCCATGTGTCTGACAACAACCAGTGGTTGGCTTGCTATCTGGCCACAGGAGGTGTAGAGAAAGGCAGGATGGATACTGGTCAGATGCCTGGTTCTAAACGCCAGCCAAGAAACCCCAGCCAGGTTGTGGCTCTCATCTGAAAATGGGAGTCACAGTAGCACCTGCCTCATGCATGTAGCCTTTACATGGGTGAAGCTCAGGGGGGTGGGCACAGAAAGTGCTGAGGACAGAGCCTGGCACATGCTGATGCCCAGCACCATGGTAAGCTTGATGATGAGCAAAAACACTGGGTCTCCTTAATTCCAAGAAGTCCCAGCCTGGTAGTCTTTCCTTCCATGGATTCAAGCGGAAATAAACCCTTAAGATTCACACCCTTCCTTAAACACATACACTGAGGAGAAAGAAGGGTCAGAAGACAGGGTGACCTCCTCCTTTGACCCTCACCTTAGCTCCTAACTTCTCTGAGTCCCTAACACAGGATTCATCCTAAATTCCCAAACAGGGCAAAGCCATCATCTGAGGACAAGGACACCTGGAAATCAGGCCACATAAGGGAAATCATACTTACACAGGCCACCTCCACTACAGCCCAAAGCTGTCTATACACAGAACTTAGAAGGTTCACACCTGCCATAGGTAGGGAAGCCTGGCCCCAGAAACGTTAATTCTAGAGAGACAGTGAACACAGAGGGGCTGGAAGACATCAGCTGACTGCCACTCGGGTGCTGTGTGACAGGTGTTTCAAGTCTCTGAGTCTGTTTCTTTAGGAAATGAATAGTGCCTTAGTTACAGGATGGCCATGAGGCTTGGACTTGAACAAAGTACCTGGCTTGTGGGCTCAGAGCTGGACATGAGCTATGATTCAGATGAGGAAGCAACAAATAAAGGAGGTCTTGCCTGGCAGGCCCCTCCTGACCACAGTCCTCTGGTCTTCCACCTCCCTGATATATGACATTTCTCTAGATCACCACATTACTCTCTTCTGCCTACTCAAAGCATAAGTAGCCAGGTTACATGTTGTTTTCTCCATGAAGGCCCCAGGTTTAGCACTAAACACCCAGGGCTGGCCATACCTTCGCTGAGCACCCTGGGTACCTGGTTCTTGCTCTCTCAAAACTGGTCTTGGAGACAGGCCTTGGAGGTCTTACTTTGGGGTATCTCCCTTTGCCCTCAGCCTCCCCACCCCAAATCCAACTGTGACTACCTCAAGGGTAGAGAGCAGGTCCTCAGACCCACAGTCCCTGGGGAATTCACAGGGCTGTCTTACAGTGCTATGGTGACTTGGCTAAGCTCACACTCAGGAAGCATCTAGGACAGGCTGGCAAGCAGTCTATGCCATGCTGTGGAAGCACTGGCTCCTGCGATTCCTATTATCTGCACTCCCCCAGCAGGCTACAAGGGGCTTGGGGGGGCAGCGAATGAAGCAGAAACTGGGAAGAGGAAGATTTCCTCCCTGCCCTGCCCCTCTCCTTTCCTCCCTCTCTTCCTTTCAACCTGCTTCTTCTTTGTGCTCTGACCGCAGAACCCGCCCCTCACCCTGTGAGCCATCTCTGGCTGCCATGCCCTTGCCCCATGCCCCCCTGGATTCCCAAAGGCCGCTTCATCACGCCTTAGCTCCCTGCCCCGCCTCCCGCCCAACATGTGCAGAGCCCATGGCCTCCTGCCAAGGCCCCAGGCTGCCAGCAGAGGCAGAGACAGAAATCTCACCGCTCGGTAGGTTTTCTTCTGCCCAGCATGCTTGGGGGCTTTGCCTGGCTCTGCAGAGCTCTCCACGTGCATCGAGTAGATGATGTCAAAGAAATCTTCCACCACAGCAACCCGTTTCAGAGAGATGCCCTCCGGCTCCGACAGGCCATCTGCCCCCTGCGACAGGGTGGACAAGCTGTGTTAGTGTCAAGGCTGATGGTGGGTGAGAGCTGAACCCTGAGGCCAGGCCACAGGTCAGGGGCAGGGATCTAGCTGCTCCCTGGCCCAGCAAGGCCTCCAACAGTGGGGCTGGGGGCTGGGGAGAAGAGTGAGCCTGCTGGTCTGGGGAGAGGGTACCAAAGTCAGTGTGGCTGCAGCCACTAAATCTACCAGCAACAATGGGCAGAGAACCACAACAACGCAAGGACAAATTAGAAAACCAAGAGGCTCCATGTTCACAGTTCCAGACAGATTGTGCCAGACTCACAGGGAGCTCTCGAATCACATGCTGTGCCAAGACCATCCTGGATGTCTCTGGGGACGGGGGGAGTGCTAAATAGATGCAGTCCCCATCAGGAGCTCACCAATTAGCAGTAACCTTTCACTGTGGTCCTGGGCTGGGGCCCCAGGGGACTGGCTCCCATCACCTGGGTGGTTCCTGCCTCAGCTCAGGCCTTTCTGTAAAGCTTTTCACCACTGCCCACCCTCCCCACCCCAGCAGCTGAGCACCAGCCACAGCACCCGGGCTCTTTGTGTGGGGAGATGCACAGAAAAACAGGCACCAGGCCACGTGGAGGTGGCAGGGCTGGGAGAAGGGTGGCCATGGGCCCCCTGGGCCTCTTATCAGGCTAGCATGAGTGCTGTCAGCTGACTTGACAAAATGTGCCAGGATGGTGACTGAGTTCTTCATAGCAAACAGCTGTGGGTGGGTGCCTACCCTCCCATACAACCAGGAGAGAAGATACAGGGAGTCTCCAGGCATAAGTTCTAGGCCAGGCCAGTGCTCTGTGAAGGCAGATCCTGGTCTACAATACATGAGGTACGCACAGTCCCCAGGACAGCAGACTCAAGTCCATCATCTCCCCACTGAGAGACTGGGAATGTTCCTAGAACTTCAGGGCTTCAGGAACCAAAAACAAATGGTAAGGACTCAGGAGCTTTGGAGAAGGCATCAAAAGATACAACTCCAAGATAATCTTTCCCCAGAGGACCCTCCCCTGGGCCCTGACACACACACTCAAGGAGGTCAGTCCCATGGAGGTATGGAATTCATCTGCTGGGTCACACCAAGAAAAATGCCTAGCACATAATAGGTACTTGCAAAAAAACTGCTGCTGAGCAGGTGGTTGGCTAAATAACAGCAGAGCAGGATCATTTAGACACACTCTGTGCTATCATTCAAGTGATGTGTGACCCTGAGTACTTATCTTGCTTCTCTTAACCTCAGCCCTTCATCTGTAAAATGGGGATGAAGCACTCCTTTGCCCATGAATTTCTATGGGAAATAAGTAAGATATGGCTATAGCACTTTGTACCAAGCCTGGCACACAGAGCCATTTCCATAAACACTACTATTAAGAAGTGTTTTGCTAAGTTGCCCTAGTTATGATAGAACTGAACAGCACAGCCCTGGGAGGTTATGAGGGTCAGGGCTTGCCTGGACAACAGTGGCTGACTGAGAATTAGTACAAGATGGCTTAGGTCCTCAGACTTTGGAGTCCAAGGAGAACACAGGCCTCACTGGTGTGCCACAGAAAGGTTTGGTTTTAGTTCATGGCTTTCAGACACACCATGATGGCAGAATGGGAAGGTCTTTTTGCCACCGGCCTTCTTTCTGGGTGTCTGTGGTGTGAGCTACTAAACCTAGAACTCTTGGGCAGCATCTCTGCATGGTGACCCTGGGCTATGCCCTAAGTAGTCTGGTACAGTCCTCTTGCCAGTCAAAACCCATTTCAGTAGAGTCTTCTCAGTAGGCCCCTGTGTGCACATGTATCTATATGTGTGCATGCATGGGTGGAGGAACGTTGCCTGAGCCAGCTACCCTTACTCAACCTTTCAACTTCCCTGAGTTTGATTAGCTATGAAATTCCATGTCCTTTCAGATTTAAGCTCTCTCAGGACTTACATTTTACTTCATTCTCAGGGGAATCCCAGACCTTTAAAGTCCTAAGCCATCTTTAAGGGCTCATCAATGACCAGCTTGTTCATTACCTGACATAACTACCCACACTCGGAGGATCTTCAGATACTGCCCTGACAAGAGTTGAGACATGATGGGTATTGTGACTGGTCAGTTATAATACACTTTTCTTCTTGAGACAGGCTGACTTCCCTATGTAGCTGAGGCTAGCGTGATTCTTTTGTGCCACCTCCCTCAGCTCAGCTATAATACACTTTAAAAAAATATTTATGTGTATGAGTGTATCGCCTGCATGTATGTAAGTGTACCCATGTCATGCAATGCCCATGAAGGTCAGAAGAGGGCATCAGATCCCCCGGAACTGGAGATACAGATAATTAATTGTTAGCCACCATGTGGGTGCTGGGGACCAAACTGGGTCCTCTGCAAAAACAGCCAGTGCTCTTAATCACTGAGCCATCTCTCCACTTTTAATCAGAGATTTGCAATAGCAAAAATGAAGCTTGAGAATGAATACAATTGGATTTCTACTTCTCAATCTGACTGTGGTTATACAGGTGTACACAGTTTATTTAAAAAGTCACTAGGCACACTTGTAACTGTGCCGTCCTCTGCATGTCTATTAAACTTTAATTTTAAAAGTGTTAATTTCTGCCAGGCGTAGTGGCGCATGCCTTTGATCCCAGCACTCGGGAGGCAGAGGCAGGTGGATCTCTGTGAGTTCAAGGCTGGCCTGGTCTACATAGTCGAAGATCCTGTCTCAAAAAAGACAAAAAAAAAAGTACTAATTTCTGCCAGGCATGGTGGCAGAGGCAGGTGGATCTTTGTGAAATAGAGGTCAACCTTATCTATATAGTGAGTTTCGGGTCAGTTGGGGATACAGGAGACCATGTCTCAAAAAAAAAAAAAAGTTAACTTCTGAGCTGGGGAGATGACTCCAAGGATACAAGTTCTTGCTACACAAGCAAGAGGACCTGAGTTTGAATCCCCAGAACCCACCTAAAAAACTGGTCACAGTCATGGGAGTACTTGTAATCCCAGTGCTGGCCACCATCCTAGTGAAAGACCCAGGTCCAGTGAAAGACCCTGTCTCAAGGGAATAAGGTAACGAGTGACAGAGCAGAATACCCAGCATCCTCCTCTGGCCTCTATGTGTACACATGCACTCACACGCACATATATGTACACCACCCACCCCCCCCACACACTACACACACACTCTCACACATCCATATGCACATGCAAACAAAGTTTTAGAAAATAGACCCTATGATAAAAAATATTTTAAAATGCTAATTTGGGGCTTATGAGATGGCTCAGTGGGTAAAGGTGCCTGCTGCCAAGCCTGAGTTCAATCCCTGGGACCCACAGGATGGAAAGAACAGACTCTGACCTAAACATACACACACACACACACACACACACACACACACACACACACACAAACAAAGCCCTTGTGCTCCCCACCCCCAAAACATAAATAAAATTAAAATGAAAATTTTAAATGTTTTTAAATGTTAATTTCTTGGACCTTATAAAGGGGTAGGTTCTACATTTTGTTCACTCTGATTCAGAGGAACACTGATGAATTGGTTTAGTTACTTAGAGGCAGATAGAAAAGCTGTTTCAGCCAGGCATGGTGACGTACACCTTTAATCCCAGCACTTGAGAGGCAGAGCAGGGCAGATCTCTGTGAGTTCAAGGTCAGCCTGTTCTATGTAGTGAGTCATAGGCCAGCTGGGGCTGCAGGGAGTCCCTGTATCAAAAAGACAAAAAAAAAAAAAAAAAAAAAAAAAAAAGAAAAGAAAAAAGAAAAAACCTGTTTCAGTCAGAAAGAGATTCCTCTGAAAAAGGAAGTACTTTGGTGAGAAGGGATGAAGATATCAAACTAATGAAGAGGTAATGTCTTAGAGAGGTAAGGCAGGAACCAGTTCAGGAACCTGGGTGGGTCACTTTGTTTTTCACTTCTTGAAACTGTTTTCCCACCTATAAAACAGGCTTTGAGAGTCCTAATTATATATTCTAAGGATCAAGGAAGAATATGTGTGAGAGGATCTATGTGCCTAGGGAGATGGTGCACAGTTAAAGCTTGTTGAGCAAGCAAGAGGACCAGAGTTCAGATTCATGTACAAGCAAACTGGCCAGGGAGACAGCCATATTGGTGTGATCTGCATTTGACTGAAAGATCCTGCCTCAAAAAATAAGGTGGCAAAGCAATGAGGAATTCCAAACATCAGCCTCAGGACTCCACATGCATGAGCACACACATGCACCCCACAAAATTTTATAGTCGCTTTTGAAAGAGATGTATCTTTGCTCAGGAAATTGTTGTTGAATATGTTAAAGCTGTAATGAAATGCTTCTTCTGAAAAATAAAAAATAAAAATAAAAAACCATGCAAACACACATATACTCGTGCGCACATGCATACACATGAAAAATAAAAAAGAGGAAAAAGAATGTGTGAGGCATTTGACAATATTAGGCATAGTAAGCATCCACCTCCCCCCTCTGCACCGAGTCTAGACATTTTATGTTTAGGAATCTGCCATATCTCTTGACCCTTTGACTATTCCGTGACAAAGGGGATCCCTGGGGGGTAATACCCACCACCAGAGGAAATACATAATAGTCTTAATTCTTAAATAATATGCTAAAGTTGTCCAAAACTTGGAATAGGCTTTCCTCTAAGTTCAAAATACAAATAAAACAATGAAATATAGTATACAGCACCTGGCCTGGTTCATCCCACCTCCTACCTCTATTCTTAGGCACACTTGGGTAAGCAGTGGCTTTGCAGCTGGTCCAATGTGGCCATAAAATTATTCCAGGGAAACTTCAAGGGAGCAGTCATCAGTAGCTCTGTCTTTAAAAACTAATTTATCTGCTAGGTATGGTGTGCACATCTATGATCCCAGCACTCGGAAGGCTGAAGGAGGAAGATTGCCATTAGTTCAAGGCCAAGGCCAGCCGGGCTACATAGTGAATTTCAGACCAGACTGGGACATATAACAAGACCTTAAGAAAGATTGGTTGC